CTGAAGCATATTTCCATGACAAGTTGTTATATGATGAGACCTAAAGGACTAGCACTAAGGTTTCTAAGTGTTCACAGAACCATCGTTATCAGCGTCCAGGATCAGCTTGGGCTTGGGCTCCCACCTCCTCCTGACTAGGATTTGGGCAGCAATGTGATCAAACACTGCTGCTGCTACAATGGGGTCCATGAACTGCTCTGGCAGCTGGAGATGTTCTGTATTTGCACTGACCAATACAGTGGCCACTAGCCACATGTTACTGAGCACTTGAAATTTTGGTTAGTCGGAACTGAGATGTGTATAAGTATAAATTATACACCAGATTTCAGACTTAGGACAGAAAAGGAAGATAAAATGTCTCATTAATAATTTTTAAAATTAATTATGTTTGAAATCATATTTAAGAGGTATCAGGTTAAATAAAATACAGGCTGGAATAAAAGTAGGTTTGCAGTTGTTTGTATGGAAAATATTACAATAATTAATACATAATAATATAAGAATAAACTCTGTGTTTTACATACTCACAACTGTAAACCTACTTTTGACCCACCTTGTGTATTATTAAAACCAGTTTCACCTGTTTATGAAGCTGGTTAGAAACAAAGAGGCTCATTCCCCCCTCTCCCCCCCTCCGGACTGCTAAATGAGAATTTACATTTTAATAAAATCTCCTGTGATTTGTATGCACATTAAAACTTGACTATTGGAGAGTCCCTAAGACTAGGATTGCCTGATTTCGCAAATAAAAATACAAGATGTCCAGTTAAATTGAATTTTTAGATAAATAACAAATGATTACTTAGTATAGCATATCCCAAATATTGCATGGGATATACTTATTATTAAAATTATTTGTTGTTTATCTGAAATTCAAATTTAACTGGGTGTTCTGTATTTTATCTAGGTTTTAAGTCTTTAATCCATTTTGATCTGATTTTTGTGTATGGTACAAGATAAGGATCTAATATCCTCGTTTGGCATGTGAATACATTGTAGGAGGGAAATGTATTTATACATTTTACGTTGACTGGTAGTAGAGCGCGTGATAAAAACTACCGGCAAACAATGTGTGAATATCCAGTTTTCCCAGCATAATTTGTTGAAGAGACTATCCTTTCCCCATTGTGTGTTCTTGGCACCCTTATTTCTAGACTTTCTATTCTGTTCTATTAGCCTACATATCTGTCTTTATGCCAGTAGTGTACTGTTTTAATTACTCTAGCTTTGTAGTGTATTTTGAAATCAGGAAGTGTGATGCCATCAACTTTGTTCTTTTTCCAAATAGATTTGGCTATTCAGGGCCTCATTTAATCTTCACAACAATTCTTTGAGTTAAGTACTTATTTTTTTAAAATATGTTTTTATTATTGATTTTAGAGAGAGAAGAAGGCAGAGGGGGAGAGAAACATCATGGATGTGAGAGGGTAACATCGATCTGCTGCCTCCTGCACGCCCCCTACTGGGGATCAAGCCTGTAACCTGGGCAAGTGCCCTGACGGGAGTCTAATGGGTGACCTCGAGGCTAATGGGACGACACTCAACCAACTGAGCCACACCAGCCAGGACTGAGTTAAGTACTTTTGTCCCCACTCTGCAGATGGGGAAGCTGGGCTCAGGAGGAAAAGGAACTTGCCTAATATCAGATAGCTAGTCAGGGCTGGAGCTGGAAATGCCCTCAAGTGCTGTCTGCCTCCAAAGCCAGTGTTCTTTACTATTACATTTCATGCTTCTCAGCGAGTGGAGAGTCATGAAGGCAAAAGGAAAGTGTGAACTTGGACACATAAGTAAAAGTAGGTAAGATTCAGGATTTTCACTCTTTTATTGACCTGAAAATGCATGTAATAATGTATAGTTCTTGGATTTTTGAGAATTTAATAGCTTCCTGCAAAATAGTATGAGATTCTTATGAAGAGTTAAAGAGTAAAAACAATGCCAATTTCTAAAAAGAGCTTAAATGGCAGATTTTTTTCTAAAGAATCTGCTCCCCAATAATCTTTCATTGAGATGAATAACCAATGACCTAAATAGACCCATTGGTTTCACTCTGTACTCCACATCAAGCAGTGGCGGACCCTCCTTTTACCCTCCCCCTACATAATACATCCTGGGAACACTGCCTTTTTACTGGTGGAATATGTTGTCAGTCACGTGGCATGAAAAGTACTGCCTCTGCTCTGTTTCCATTTATGAATTACCAGAGGTGCTTGGTTTGAAGAAACAGATTCATTTCTTGATGGGAAGAAAAACCTTGTTTAGTTTTTCACTTATTTTTTTGGCATGGGGTTTTCATTAACTTTGGACCAGATGTTTGCTAGGAAGACTGTAAGGTGAGTAACTGCGTATCTTTTAGTGCATGCGTCTGTGAGCTTCAGTGTCAGTGTGAAATGTAGTGGTTCTATATATTTTTTATATTGTTGCATAGCTACATTTGTTTACAATTACAAATGGATATACTAGGTGAGATAATTCAGCAGCTACTAAAATCGTTGAACTAGCGATTATAAAGAGATAAAGACATAATCTTTAGTATAAGAGGGGAGAGTAATTTGTTCAAAATACCCAAGAGACATTTGCATTATGTACCAAAGTATATATCTATGAAAAAACTACTCAAATCAGTGTTCAGGTTTCTTTTATACTTACAAGTAAATGTTATTTTCACAGTTTTTCCTGCCATTATTATGTGAGAAGAGAGTAAGGAAAATATTTAAAACCTCAGAAATGTATAGCCTGTCCCTCAAAGAAAAGGTGTTAAATAATTTGAACTGGTAGGAGACGGTAATTGTGTGGAATACATGCTATTTAAAATTAACAAGCAAAATTTGTATTTCTGTTTTCTCTGTCCTTTTGGCTTCTTTCCATACCATTTAAGGGAACACAGAGATTTTTTATAAGGAATAATATTCAGAACCTGAATAGCAATTAACTTATGACATATCTCCTAATTACTTATTATGTGCCATTTCAACAAATGCATCAGGGAATTTAGTCTGAGCACAAAGGATAGCAGCAAGCAGGGTGATCTGCCAAAACTTGTGTTAAAGAATTCTTAAGTCACCAGCTGATAAAAACTATAAGCACAGAAATTTTTTGTTTTCCCTCTTTATTTCCAAATGATAGTACTTACTTTAGGTTCACTTTGTAATAATAAGTGACCTCACTCCTTAGGTGATTAAAGCTTAGCAATGTTTCCTCCCATGGTTTATACAGAAATGAATAATAAAATGTACACCAAGAACTATAAAAATCCCACTTCTGTTTTTGAAGCAAGGTTAATGGGTTTAAATAATCTTAGCTTCAGAAGGAACCCTAGAAATCACATAAGTCAATGATCATTTGAGTCTAATAATATGGCATGTTATTTCATTATGATGAAAACAACAGTTGCTGTTTTGTGAATGTGCTTTCAAATTATGGATCTGAAATTTAAAATATTTTCAACTCTACTGTTCTTAAGTCTCTAGGAAGATGAGTGTATTATAAGTTTGTATTATGTATATAATATCATAATAATATATGAGTGTATTATGTTTCCTAAGCATAGATTGAGTAGGGGTTGTCATTTTTTGTTTACACATTTCTTCCTCAAATTTGGGTCTATACTTGAATAAAAAGGAAATCTTTTCCCTCTCACAGAGCATTCTGTGGATCTCTCATTTCCACTTCCCTTTCAGAGCTTGTTTGTTTATTAATTTGTTAGTTCATTACTCATGGACATAACACATATGTTTTTAATACTTGGTACTTTTAAGTAGCTGGGAACTTTGCTAGGTGCTGGGTCTACAATGGTGAAGAAAACAAATGTAGTCTCTGCCTTCATGGAGCTTTAAATTTAGTGGAGGAGGTGCTCGTTAATGAATATCATTACAAAGAAACTGTGAAACATGCTGTGGAAGCGAAGTATAGGAGGTTATAAGGACTTATAGTAGGGGGATCGGAACTAGTCTGAGGAGTTAGGGACACTGTTCTTGAAAGAGTGATATTTAATCTGTGATCTGGAGGGCACAGGGGAATAAGCAGGAGACGGGAGGAAGAGGGTGGAGAACATTTCAGGGGGAGGGAACAGGGGCTCTAAGACTTTTAGGAGAGAAGAGAGAGCCTGAAGCCCTCGGGACTGAACTAAGAATGCCAGTGTAGCTGGGGCTGACCGGGAGAGGTGAAAGGAGGTGAGCACAGCAGCAGGCTTTGCTCTTTCAGGGCCTCGCAGGCCATGGTGGGAATGTGGCGTCATCCTCAGTAGAACCATGAAAGGGCTGCTCGCCTTCACCCTCATGAAGGTTTGCTTGGGAGACTTGCGCTGGAATACCTGGTAAATAAAAAATATGGCACCAGCCACTGCAAGCCTAGAACTCTAGATTACTTTTCAGATATTATAGAGATCCTTCTTACTGGAAAAGGGTCTGAGTAATTTTGAATTCCATGTGGCATTATACCATACAAATGCATCCAATGTGACACAATTGCAGATTTAAACACTGACATGATATTTAATGTTAAAGAATTATTAATGTTTTCTAGATATAATTGGGCTGCTACGTTAGAAAGTTCTTCTCTTTCAGAAACATATACCTACATGATATGATTTATGATATTTTCTTCAAAATAATACCAAGGAGAGGAAGGGGGTGAACTTATAGGTGAAACAAGATTGGTTATGACTTGATAATTACTAAAGCTGGATGCTGGGGACCAGTACTTGGGGATGTGTGTCATATTTTTCTGTTTATATTTGGTTGTGTTTGCAGTATTTCGTGATAATATGCGTATATCTTATAACTCAGCAATTTCACTTCTAGGAATATATCTCTTTTTTAAAAAATATATCTTTATTGATTTCACAGAGAAGAAGAGAGAGGGAAAGAGAGATAGGAACATCAATGCTGGGAGAGTCATCATTGAACAGCGGCCTCCTGCATGCCCCTGATTGGGGATAGAGCCCGCAACCCGGGCATGTGCCCTGACTGGGAATCGAACTGAGATCTCCTGGATTATAGGTCGATGCTCAACTGTTGAGCCATGCAGGTTGGACTAAAATCTAAAGTGTAGATATTTGTTCAGCATCTTTTAATTCCTATTTTTTTGTTTCGGGTCTCTAACACCTTCAAATAAAGAAGTGGTTATAAAGAGTGGTAAGACATAGCATTGCTCCTATGATTCCTTGGGGGGTTGAGGAAGAGTTTCATCTGTGGTGACCTTCCCTGAACACTGGTGCTTGCATCAGGAGTCTCTCATGTCACAATCTCTTAAACTTGTGTATTCTAAATTTTGAACTAAAAGTGCTTAGCATATTATTGTCATTGAATTTCATGAATCAACCAATGACATTTAGTCTTTGCACTCCTTTCATTTATTTGACAGATCAACAGAATAATGGAATTAAGAAACCTATCCAGAATTTCACAATACCAATCACACAGGTATGGCTATGTTAGGAAACTAGATTATATCTTTAAAAATTCTAAACATTTCAATCAACTCAGAGCCACTGTGAAAATCTAAATAATTCTATTAATAAATAAAATTCTTGCTGGAACTTTGGCTGGGGGAAATGTATTATGTTATCTTATAGTTGAGAAAAACTAAAGTTTCACTTCTCTTATATTTTTATTACAATATTTAGTTTTACTTTTGTTGCTTTCTAGACAGGATTACTATAAAACCCTTTTTTAGTTACAGGAAGCTTGGATTGCTGCTGCCTGTTAAATTTCTCTTTTATTTGAACTTACACTGGAATAATTAGTATGGAATAGTTATCTAGATAAGTGGATCTTCTTTCAGATATACAGTATCCCTGTCTTTGTGACTTCCAGAGTCAGGTACTAAAGTGCTTTGTCTTAGGCTTCCTGGAAATCAGCAAAGCTTTCCTAAGAATTAGAATGATGGTAGAATACTAGTTTGCCTGTTTATCTATATTAAGTGATCTGGAGCTGGCACTGTCCAAGACAGTAGCCACTAGCCACATATAGCATTTAAATTCAAATTCAAATGAAATAATGCTAAGTAAAATTAAAAGTGAAGCTCCTTAGTTACACTGGCCACATTTCCAGTATTAAAGACTGCTCTGTTAGATGTAATGGTCTGGACAATTATGCTTGATTTCTAAAAAGCTCTTGTTTCCTTTAACATATTAATTTCTTTATTTAAAGTCCTACATTATTTGGGTTCTTACAGTTTTATTTTCTGATGATATTACTGCTATTAGTATCGTGGCATGGTGAATTTTAAAAAAAATTAATAGACTTTTAAAAAAGTAGTTTTAGGATTACAGGAAAAATTGAACAAAAATACAGAAGGTTCCCATATACCCCTTCAATTCCTCTCCCCTCCAATTTTACCTATATTTAACATCTTTCACTAGTGTGGTACACTTGTTAAAATTGATGAGGCAATATTGATAAATTATTATTCATTGAAGTCCATAGTTTACATTAAGATTCACTCTTTGTGTTGTATATTCTATGCATTTTAACAAATATATAATGATATCTATTCATCATTACAACATTATACAGATAGTTTCAAGGCCCTAAAAATCTGCATCCTTGCTTTCTGCCCCAGTACAGTGACTTTTTAAAGTCTATATTGATAATGTCATTTTAGGCTTGTTATGATCTGGTCCATTCATCTCCTTTGCCCCACAATAGTATGGATTCTGGAGCTAGAGGTCAGAGTTTCAGTAGGTTGTGAATTAGCCTTTTTGCTTCCAGAAAGCATTTTGTACTGTGGAAATAAATTTACCTCTTATTTTGTTTATTTGATTAATTAGGCCCTGAACCAAAATCTGAGCAGACAAGGGCATTTAGAAAAAGAACCTTGGAATACCTTCAGCCATGATAGCCCGGTTAATGTCTCCATGGATGGAATTCCCTGCATTCTCTTTTGGGCCAAAAGAATAACAATTAAGTTTAAGAACCAGACCTGGCTGGATCTTACAGAGGAAGCTTTTGGCCAGAAGGCAACAGTGGATGCTAACAACTCAAATTGCGGTGAAGAAAGTGCCAAGTAAGTTGACCATTTCACTAGATGAAGCCCTTAGGGTGATTGTCACCTATTAATTGGGTGGTCCAGTTTTCTGTCATTTCAGAAAAAAGAAATAGGTTCCTTTGTACATGACCTGACACACATCTGTGAGGAAATGTTTAATCTCTACAATGGAAGACCAAGTCCAAAATTAATTTAAAAAAATTTGTTCTTTTTTTTTCTTCTCAGCAATTTTCTTCTGAACCCTTTAGCTGATTGTTACAATACCTTGTGGGAAATCAGAGCTCTGAAAAATGAAGGTTCTCAAGCTCATTCTGAAAAAGAGAAAAAGATTCCAGGAATGGTATCCACTCCAAATGTGAAGTGTCAGAACTACTTTGGTCTCATCAGGGAGGAAATTTCAAATCACAGAGCGGAGTCACGTATTCTAGTGGGTGAAATGGAGAAGGCTGACTCTGGTTAGTGCAGATACTTGATTCTAGGGAGTGTCCTGAAGTTGTGGAACATTGTCTGTTTGAAGATATACTAGGGTACCTTTGAATGGCCAAATGTCAGAGAATTCTTAGGACATTTCAAAATGATTAGAATAATTACGTTTGATTTGAGATAAGCAGATTAAACACATACCCCTTTCGAAGAGGAAATCAATTGCCAATGCCTTTCTCTGCTTTTCAGTCACCCAAGCAAAATTTTTTGCTTGTATTTGTTTTGGTCCAGAGGGCGGAAGTCTGGCATGTCCCTCTTATTTCCTATAAACCTCCTTGCTTTCAGTATTTACTGGTATAATGGAGGCTTTTGGAAGATCCTTTTCTGGCCTAGTTTAGATGGGCAGAATGCTTGTGTAAACCATAACATTGTGTGTGTGTGTGTGTGTGTGTGTGTGTGTGTGTGTGTGTGTGTGTGCTTTTTATATTTATATACTTTGGCTGCAAACACTTTTTTATTCCTGAACTACTCATTCAAAAATTCTTGATGTTGGATAAAATGGCTTATTTTAATATAAACTTACAAGTTATATTACAAGTCTTAGGAAGTATCTTGTTGTTCAGAATAACTCTCTTATTAGGGAACTAGGGAATTCTAAGCCTAAGCATCCGGAGTCCTCCCAGATCTGTTTATTTTGTGACAGCCTGACTACTGGAGACTCCAGCACTGCTGAGAGTTTAGCACTTTTTCCTCAGGGGCTAATCAGTTCCCTACAGTGCTCTTTATTTGCGGTTGGCTGCTCGGAGAGAGGCTCATTGCCTGGGGATCATCTTGCCTGTTCATGGCTGACTAACCCTTCTTGATTCCATTTATCCTGACCTGAGGATATCTGTGGGGAAGAGCCGGGCACCACAGCTTTTTGCTTTAGAAACTGTAATATCACTGGGATCCCACAGACGGAAAACTTAGCTTCTAAGCCCAGTTCTGCAAGTGAGCTCTGTGACTTCACAAACTGGAGTCATTGTATGATCATCGTCTGTGAGATGGAGATGATGGCATTTATTAATTGTAACTAACATCCGCTGAGCACTTACTATGGGCCAGGTATCGGGCAAGGACTTCACAGGGTGATGTTTGATATTCCTCACAATACTATTGTGAATAAGTCCCCAACTCACAGGTACTATTATTTCACATGTTCCACGTGAGAAAATCAAGGTGCTTAAAGGATAGAAAACTTGCTAAGATTATACAGCTTATATGGTCATAGTGCTGGGGTCTAAAACACCTTTAACAATGACGTTTTACCTCCTCTCTCTCGGCCCTACCTCATAGGTTGTGAAAATCAAATAAGGAAATGTATGCATGAGAACTTTGAACACTTGTCAAGTGCTACGTTAGAAGACATTCCTAACATGCTGATAACTAGAGTAAATAGTGTCTAGTTACCTGGTTGAAAGGCCTAGAGAAGTTTTGGTTTTCACAATGCACACATTAATGATTGGGCGGGGGGAACCTGGCTTTTTTCTTCTTGGTCATTGCCCTAGAATTGTACTCAGGACAGTTACTTAGTGTGCAGCATCTACTTCCTGGAGCCCTGCTCAGGCGAGTGTGCAGGCATTCTGGAGAGCCCACCCAAGGGGATGAGAGGGAGGCTCCCCAGGATGTGAGGTAGTCAAGGACTAGCTGCTGAGACTTTGTACTTGGTTCCTAAGAATGGCACAGGCAAGTGAGATGCCTTTGCTGTGCTGGTTAGAATCTCATGTTCTCAAGAACCAGAAAGGGAGTTGCTAAAAGAAGAAGCCTAAGCAAAGACATAATCATGTAAGGTCAAAAGCACAGATTAAAAAAAGATGGCCATGTTTTAGCGCTTGGAATCACACTGTTCAGGGAAAGGCAAATTGTTGGCAGATAGATTTCCTGTGGAAGTCTCGTTAAATAGTCAAAGCCCTACAAATAGAGCACAATCCCAGCATCTGTCAGTATTTTGAATTTAGGCAATTATAGTCTGAAGAATTCAGAATCCATTCTATACATGGGAGGGTAGGGAGTTTGGAAGAGTTACTGAGTGACTCGCTAGGCTGTATTTCTTCTTCGTGTTTACAGTTTATGGTGTAGTGCCTGGCACTTAAAGGATGCTCACTGAATGGTTGTTGAATTTGCTTTGTTGAAATCAGACCTCACGTTCTTTACTCTGCAGCGGAGCATGTTAGCAACTTTCACTGAAACCAGGACTGCTGGAGAAAGCTCTGGTGTGTCCGAAGTGTGGAGGCCGTTGAGCTGCTCCATCAGGAGAGGGGTCAGAGATCACGGTGGCTTCAGCATGGCTTTGCTTTAAGGGTTAGTTTGTTAGCTGTAGAGCTAGTTTATGTGTAACTAAGCTATTCTCATTCCTTGGAAGAACTAGAGAAATTTCTGTTAGAATAAGTGACCAATTTATAAAGTACTATTCAAGAAATGCATTTTAGTTCTTTAAAATATTTTTAGTAATTTGTAACAGACTATCAAAATATTGCTGAAAACTTGCTTTACTGAGTGAGTTAGCTTGTAAAGTATTTGTAAATGAGTCTATCTAATGTGGCTAAGCTTAGAAAATAAAAATATTTCTGTTAGTAATTTAACTTATAAAGTTTATTTTTAAATACTCCTCCCTTTTTTTCTTTTTTCCATAAATAGTATTAAAATAACTTCAGCTCAATCACTGACATTTCTATTTCTTGATAAGTAGAAGCATATTAATGAGATTATATATGTAAGGTGTTTTTAAAGCCTCTAATTAGACATTTTATTGCTTTATTGGGGCTTTATAATGTATATTGAGATAACTTCTATACATTATAATGTCACATAGCATTGTCATCCTTTGTGCATTTAAAATTTTTTATATTTTTTTACTTTCAATTTATTTAGCTTTTTATCATTCCTATTTTCAACCTATTGAAATGTCAGTGAAATACACTAAACAGTACTTATAAAGAGTGTACGATTTAGCAGTTTTGACATATGTGTATACCTATGAAACCATCACCACAGTCAAGGTAGCAAACATTTCCATCACCCTTAAAAGTTTTCTTGTGCTCCTCTGTAAGCCCTCACTCCTGCCATTCCCACCTCCCCAGGGAACCACTGATCTGTTTTCTGCCATTACAGATTAGTTTCGCTTTCTAGATTTGATATAAATATAACTGTATAGTGTACATCTTTTCCCTCTAGCACGGTGATGTTGATAGCCTCTGCTGTTGCACGTATGAAGGGTATGCGCCTTTCTGTTGCTGAGTGGTAAGTGCACGATTGTTTACAGACACCACAACTTTTTTATCCATCTACCTCTGATGGAAATTAGTTTTCCCTGCAGTTTTTAGATTACTTTCCAAATAAAGTTGCTGTAAACAGTCATGTACGTCTTTGTAGGAACACATATTTTCATTTCTCTTAGGTAACTTCCTAGGAGTGAATGGCTGGAGCACATAGTAGGTATATGTTTAGTTTTTTAAGAAACTGCCACACTGTTTTTTAAAGTGGTTGAAATGTAAATGAAATACACTAAAGGCACTTATAAAGACGTACAGTTAGGTCAGTTCTGATGTATGTGTGTGCATTTACTTCCCCTGTCATCGTGCGGGAGTTCCGGCTGCGTCACACCCTCACCGGCACCTGCTATGGTCAGTGTGGACTGCAGAGAAAATATTTTTGTTTCTGCGTGGTTAGTAATTTCTGGACACCTTTTACTGAGACTTGGGTGAAAAGATAAGCCTCGGGGTTAGTATGAGATTTTCCTCATTAGAGGAATGTGTTTAGTGTCAAGTAATAATGAGCTCAGGACGGTGGAGACTCCAGGGCATCTTTTCATGTACTTATTGGCCATTTGTATATCTTCCTTTGTGAAGTGCCTGTCTTTTGACCATTTTTAAGTTAGGTTTTGTTAACGTAACAAATGTTCAAACCTGTAGAGAATTTTGATAAGAGTTTATTTGGGCCAAACTGACGACGTATGCTGGGTAACAAATCTCAAATGGTCTGGAGAAGGACAGTTTTGAGGCTTCTTTTATGTATTTGAAATTAGGAGGGAAATAAGAAAGGTTCCATGGAGGTGAGGGAAATCAAAGTGGGGATTGGATGACAGGATATTTAATAAGACTGTGTGCTCTCTTGAGGGTGGTTACACTTATTTCAAAGGTGTGTTAATTTAGATGCACAGAAACAATGGACAGGGCTTGCTTAAGGCAAAGATAAACCTTTTACTAACAAGTCATATGCCTGGGGTGTGACTGCCCACCATGATGTGCCCATTTAGGAATTTATGATCAGGTTACCCTGTAAGGTTACTCTCCATAGAACCCCTGTTTTTCGTGCACAAGTTGTCTTCATATTATTGAGTTGTTACTACTATTTATTGTATTCCGGATACAAATTCTTTATGTGTATGTGGTATGAATGTTTTTTCCCATTCTCTGGCTTGCCTTTTGTGTTTTCTTAATGGTGTCTTTTGAAGAGCAAAGTTTTTGAATTTAATAAAGTACAATTTATCGATTTTTTGTGGTTCATACTTTTGTGTTTTTTCAAGAAACCGTTGCCTACCCAAGATTGCAAAAATGTTCTGTTTCTTCTATAAGTTTTTTAGTTTTAGTTGTTATATTTAGGTCTATGATTCATTTTGAGGTGATTTTTGAGTATATTGTGAAGCAAGGGGTATTTCTATTTTGATGGACTGTGCTGTTTCTGTTTTCTTAGGTTGTCTCTGAAATTTGATGATGCTGAAAATTCCAAAGGTCATGCTATAAGGTAGGTATGGACACCACTCTGGAGTTCCATAGGGTCAGCACTTCAGATTAACTCCGTATAATTTATTCATTCAGCATGTAAGTACCAAAGGCCTGCTCTGTGCTAAGCAGTGACATGTGAAATGTCACAGCTACCTAATTACACGGAGAAGCCAGTGGTGTTGTGTGATGGGATCTTATAGTAATGCTTTCTTTAGCTTTTACTAAGGCATCTGTAGTTTCCTCAGTTTGGGACCTAGAGGACACATGAGCATGTGAATGTGAGAATGTGAGACCCTTTTCATTTGAGCAAAGAATAAAATATATTTAAAGCTCCAAGGCCTGAGGATCCGGTTTGAAGTTATTTTCTATATGACTCCTTACTATGAATCACACATCATTTAATGATAATGAAAAAGTGTCCGTTAGCTGAATCCCCCAGCAGACAGTTGACACAGGCCTACATTTTTCTGTGTTGATGTATGGAAGGGTGCATCTGCCAAAAGTGATTTATCCAAGCAGTTGAGGACTGCCCTGAGGAAGGGGAGAGGGCAGCAGTTTTAAGGCATTACATTTTTTTCTTATAAAAGTATAATGTTTCCCTTCCTATAAGACCAGCTTTTTAGTGGAGGTAGCAGCTGTGTCTAACATTACTTGCAAAACCAGCAGAATGTGTTAGGGGCAGTCTTCCCTAAGCTGTGCTCTATGAACTACTGCTCTGTGAAGAAATGAGATTCCCCAGAAGAGGCATTATGTGGTCAAACGTGTTTGAGAAAGACCATACACCATGTGCTCCTCTTGGAGAGTCACAGTGTAAATTTGTATATTAAGGTTTCTGTGAAGACGAACTCCTTAGGAAGAATGTTGTACTTGGCAGCTTTGATTAACCTAATGTTTACCACATTTAACCTTGGAAAGCTCTCCTCAGACACTGGCCTGCATATAATGGAACACCGATGCTGCACTGCCCATAACTGAGAAAATCCATGCCATCACCTTTCCAAGAAACTTTATAAGAAAAACAGAATCTCACGTGACCAAACACATAAACGTATCTGTTTGATATAGAAATGAATATTTTTTATTCAAATCACACTTTTCTCCCAAAAGGAAAATAGCTTCATGATTATTTTTTTCTGATGATAAAGATATATGACAGACATTGTCAGTACCCCATCTATGTTCCCTTGGGCATTTCCATTTGAGAGCATTATAGTCCACCAGTTCAACTTTATGTTGCCAGTCTGTCTTTGTCTGAAAGTTTTCTCTGTCCAGTCAGACTTACTGCCTCTCATCCCCCCAGAAGCCCTCAACCAGTGACTGACAGGTGTGGAAATATCCCAGTCCCTCACCCTCTGGTGATAACTCAGGGGCATGCATTCTATTGTGGCTCCCAGGATTCCCCATGGGCAGTAAGGCCCAGCTGACCACAGTGGAAACTCACTTAATATAGTGTGTGCTTTTGGCTGCCTTCCATTCTTTTGTTATTTCTCTTTTCTCCATTCTACATATTTTGAATGACTAAATTGCCAAATTAATTTGGGATCACCTTCCAAAAATACTTCTTGCATTTATATTTTCTTAGGGCCTGCTTCTGTAGGAGGCCAAGCTAAGACATGGTAATATATGTCCGTTGATAACAGAAAACTCAAAATATTGAGCTATAGAAAGGAGAAGATGGAAATCACCCATAATTCAACCACAATTTGTAACCACCATTAAAATTTTGATCTCTGTCTTTCCAGAATATTTTTCTATGTAGTCACATGATTTTTTTTTTTTTTTTTTTAGTGAGAAAAATGATCATGGCATATGTATATTATAATGTGTTTATGACTGGAGAATATTCAATTCTACAATGGCTAAGAATTAGGGCTCTGGTCTTTTTAAAAAATCTGTCTTTTTATAAAAAATATATATTGATTTCAGAGCTCTCTCTGAAAGGGAGAGGGAGAGAGATGGAAACATCAATGATGAGATGCCTGATGAGATGAGGTGAATTATTGATCGACTGCCTCCTGTACTCCGCCTACTGAGGATTGAGCCCACAACCCCTGACATGTGCCCTGACCAGGAGTTGAACCGCTGAGCCACTCTGGCCAGGCAGGGCTCTGCTGTTCAGATTGGATTCAAAGCCCAGCTCCAATACTTACTCTCTGAGTGAACTTGCACAAGTTATATATTTAACCCCTCTGTGTCTTAGATTCCTCATCTGTGAAATGAGGTAATAATATTATCTATCCTTAGTATTGTAGTGAAGATTAAATAAAATGTACATAAAAAACATAGAAGATTGCTCAACACATAGTAAGAACCATTACTATTATTTATGACCATTATTTCTTTAGCTAATTCTGTACTGATGTCGACTGAAGTTTTTCTCAATATTTTTTGCAATAATCAAGTGTTGATTCCAAAACAGAAAAAAGCCAGGCTTTTTGTGTTTCTCCTTTTGTAGAAATTGTATTGTTCACTTTTGGGGGCTGCCCTGTCTCTTGCTTTCATTCCCAGCCAGCAGGAAGCTGTTGTTCAGAACTAAAATGAGACTCTCTTTGAGCCAGTTCTACTATCTGACAAAAGAGGGCGCGATTGTACTGTTGTTAGGTGATGTCCTATGTCAGCAAATGTAAAAGTGCTTTGGGGGTAATACTGTTTTATAATCATTTTCAGATTCACCTTTACCAATTACAACGAGTTTTCCATGCAGAACTGGTTTAGTTTGCACCGGGTTGAGATTATTTTTAATAATTCAATCCAAGCCACTTTTAATGCAGCCGGCATATGTGCTCCATCGAGTTATTCCTGCCACTGCCAGCGCGTCAGCAGCCCACAGCAGTGTGATGCCCTCTTGTTGCCCAGTGACATGGAGGATGTGTCAGGCCTGTGGGAGGTCACTTTTGTGGATCTCCAGGTAATAAACTAAAACATGTGCTCATGTGTTTTTGGTGCCAAAGAAGCTCAGTGTTTGTTTGAAAACACCTGAAACAGAAACATGGGTGGTTAGGGGAAAGAGGAGTGGATGCCTTTAAAGTAGTATCTCTTGTCTTTATACTCTAAGGTACGAAACGGGGTAGGCCAGAGCGTTTCCTCTCCCGCACACCCCACCCCTCTGGATTTTACATCCAGGTTTACCGCCGCTAGCAGACTGTCAGGGAGGAACGCGGGCAGTCTGAGCAGCCACTGCCGCTTCCTGGAGTGAGAGGCCTTCTAGGGAGAGGAACTATCGGGCAGTTATTTTATTTCCTTCGGGGAGTGGAGCAGTGATCCTATCAGGGCAGATAAGACGTGCATCTGTAGCGTGAGTGACAGCTTTGGCAGTTAGCGTAGGAATGGAGCTGTCAGCCAGGGAGTCAAAAATATCTCAAAGATCCTCTTGAAAGTATTTGGGGAAAGGCATGGGGGCATAAGAGGTTCCTTTTCACCGCCAGAATCTCAGGCTTCGAGACATCTGTCAAGTTCTTCTGTCCTGTTCACCTGTGAAACAAGCTTTTACTCGTTCTTGCAACTCACTGAAATAGCAGGAAGGCTTGTCCCTTTTATGGGCATTTTCCAATCTTCCCCATATATAAGTGGAAATTCACATATATATTTAACCCTTGCTCCCAGCTTGGAGAGGTGTGGTGATGAGAGGCAGTTTGGCGTAGGCAAGGCGTTTGCATTTCGGAGCCCGACAGCCCTGGTTTCCAATTACTTCTCAGCCAACTGGGCAAGTTACTTCACCGTCTCAGTTTCCAACCTATCTTAATGGATATAAAGAATTCATGGCCTAATATATGCAGCGACACCAGGACTGTGTCAGGCGTGGATTAACAATAACTGCTACTTATGAATCCCCTGTGTGTCAGCCCTGTTGCAGTTGTTTTTCCTATGAGGTGACAGGAACACTGATGATTACATAATTTTTCAAAGTGATACAACTGGTAAATGGTAGAGGCAGAATTGGAATTCTGACTGTCTGGCTTCAAAGACATTTTAATATCTACATTAAACATATATATTTAATATATTTTTTAAAATATATGATTTTATCTTAATATGTATATGTATGCCCCTTAAAAAGAAGCAGGCAGAAAGGGGGATGAGGTGGTAATAATGAAAATGAGGAGTAACTCACATACAATCTCACCTAATTAGAACAGAGGATGTGACTGATTCATGCCTCAACCTTGTTCCAGAAATGATTTAAGGTGACTTATAGACATACTACAAGAAAAGTAACTTTGCAAAATGGGCAAAGACATGAGGCTTAATAAAAACAAAGGAAGAAAAGATCAGTTAGATCTGGTGAGGTTGGTACACAAAACCGCAAGACCATCTGTCCACCCTGGCTGGAGGTGGCTCAGTAATTTGGCTCTGAAGAAAGAAACACCCAGTTATATGTTCATGAGGTCCAAAAAACTACTGAAAATGTATGTGTGAGCAGTACAGCCATCCCTGGTGTTGTGCAACAGGTGCCAACGTTTGGGCAGCAGCCTTACAGTGAACCCAGTGTTGGATGTTGTTAAAACACACTTAATGTAAGCATATGGAGGAATGCAGGCTCAGTCCAGGGAGAGGTGATGGTGGTGATGGTGGTCGGGGAGTGTGTACAGAAGGCTGCATCCCACAAATGCAGCTTTGCTGATCTGGCTTATTCTAGGAATAAAGCGTAGATGCCTTGGGTAGGCCAGCTGGGGCCTGTGGCAAAGTGTAGTCAGCATCACAAGGAGCATATTTTATTCAACTACAGATAATTTTTGCTTTGTGGGAATGCAGCCTGAGTGTTGCTAGGTCTTTGGCTTCCAAGAAATCTGGATTCTTATGGGAAATTTTCAGGATGTTCAGAACTCTGAGCCAAACAAAACTCACCTGTGGGCTAGATACAGAGTATGTGCGATCTCTAGTCTAGAAACTGGATGGACAGCATATCTTTCAGGCATTTCCATAGATACTGTTTGATTCAACTAAGTCTTGTTAAGGATTACATGGCAGTCAGTGTGAGGACGCTCTGTGTGGCTGGAGTTGCAGCACCAAATGGGGCCATCTTTTGTAATTGAGGAGCTTAACTCCTCAGGCACTAATCTGAAGACTGGGCCACTTTACCTCTTAGTAGAGGGGACAGGTCAAGGATCCCAGAAGCCAGGCCAAGACTCCTTCAGAAGCTGTTTTGGATTCGATCTAGAGCACAATCTGGCGAGCAAGGCCCCAAGGTCTGTGGCATGATGAGTGGCTACAGTCATTTTAGTATGGAAAATGCTACTGTGCCCACTTACGTCATAAAAATGAATTCTCAGTAAAGCACTCATGGATAATTCAATTTCCTGATGTACTTCTTTAAAATTAACTAGGTGACTGAGTGAAGCGACACAGTATAGGGTTGTATTCTAAAAGCCAGCTACACGTGGGGCTGCCTTCCACGAAAGATTGCTCCCTCCAGAGTAGTTGATCTGCAGCCTTGTTTCTTTCATTGTGACAGTATTTGGATGTCAGGGCCAGTTGTTGATTTGAGCCTGTCCTGGTTCCAACTAATTAAACCACTTCATTGCACATATGGGAAAGCTTTCCTTTCTATTCTCTGGGTAGGATGCAAGGAGGGGCTGCTATTCAGCCCTTCCAAAAACAGTACCAAGTCTGTAGGGCACAACAGATAAAGGGAGAGGTGACGATGGGAGGGAGAAGACAGAACACGCCAGGAGTTATGGGGTAGTAAACTGGGAAGTGTCTCTGAAGCCAGACTGTCTAGGTTTGAATTATAACCTTATTACACTTAATGCTGTGTGACTCTGGGCAAGTTACTTAACTTTTCTGTGCCTCAGTTTCCTCATCCATAAAATAGGATGGAATAGTAACTTACTCACAGCCTCATACAAGTATTAAATGAGTTAAGGCAGCATCTGATACATAAAAAACCTTCAATAAGTGTTAGCTTTTATTATTTTCTATGTCTTATGTCACTGGGAATCATGTTATCTCCCTTATAAGAGTTTTCCTGTCTAATTTCTGTCAACAGAATCAAAAGCAGAAGAACTAAGACTTAAATTCTTTGTGAAGTTTATACTAAAACATAAAACTTTTAGTCTGTTTGAATTTTAGAGACACTGCAGCAGTTATGGTTTTAAATGAATGAGAACATTCCTAAGAATCTGAAAGAAGTTTTCCTATAGATCCTTGGGATAAAGGTTATATTTTAGAGCCTTGAATTTCATGAGCCTCTTAATTGTGACAATCATACATCCTAGAGGAGTTCCTGGGTCAGTCTTGATTTAAAATTAAGTTTCACTTTCCCATAAGCACACCCACATTTGTTAGATCGCATGTTTAAATTATTTAGCAAATTTGGGCACAGTATCTAAATTTGTCTCATTAGGGTCCAGAACCCCTTGCTCCACTGGGAAGTAGATCTTAGGAGAGACAAGTCACTTTAGCTCCTCTCTTTCTCCTGACAGAGCCAAGGCTTTACCATCAAGGGGGGACAATTTGCCAAGGCCCGAGACTGTACCTCTTCCTTCTCGCCAGCCATTCTGATTGGCCGGGCCCTGCCCCTGATGCTGCTGCTGGTCCTGGCCTACACCCTGCACATGCTCATCTACCTGCGGTGCCTGGCCCGGCACTATGATTTCATCGCCTCTCTAGCCCACTTCCCCCAGTTGAAGGCTCGAGATGCAGCAGAAGAGAAGGAGCTGCTGAGCAGCCAGGGAGTTGAATGCTATGAACTGAGAACCCAACAGATCTGCAAAATGAATGTTTAGCAGCCCAGGATCTGCTCCCTCACAAAGTCCACAGCGGGCTCTGGAAGGAGTTGTTCCTATTCTGTGCTGTTTGACTTCTGATGCAAGGTTTTCACCAGATGGCTTGATTAAAAAAAAAGAAAATACATGTAAAGAATACGTTTTGAGGTATCCACTTACCTAGTTAGGTAGACTTGGGGCAATGAAAAAGGGATTCTCAGGAATACCACAAAGATAAATATGATGATTCATTGCCCCAAAGCTCCCATGAAAACAAAAGGACATTTGAAATTAGGGAAATGAGAAAGAAAGGGAACCACACCAGCGCAATGTAAAGAAGGGAAGACACACTTGTTCTTTCTTGCCTGTGCCAGTTTGGATGTGATAAGTGTAGAAATAATAAATCCAAGGTTATCTGGAAGATCTGAATTTAAAATGCTTTGTAACATAGTTCGCATTTTTCAGAAATTGTGTGTCATAATTTGGTTTTAAAAACTAGTCTTTTTTTCTCTTTCACAGAACTATTTAAGGGACTCCTGTCAGTATGCTAGACCACTTTTTTCAAGGGTTTTCTTGTCACCTGTTTTGCTATTCAGAGGCAGCCAGTTCAATCTGTGAAGTAGGGGTAATCGTCTTGGGAGCATTTTGCCTTCCCACTTGGTTGCGGTGTGATGGTTCGCCTCACTTGTCTGATTTAGACCCCCACTAGCTCCCCTCGGTGCCACATGAAGTTAACAACTGAGCTGAGTAAGAACAATGTGCTTGCTGCGCAAACACAGCTTCAAGGCAAGTCCCTTAAACCCCCTTCTAATGAGAGAGTGTCCCCTAAACTCTTCTTTAATAGAAAATCTGGAGCCACCACTAATCTTTCTCCCATTTGCTTCCACATGGGTCTCCCAATAATCTTTTTCAGTTCTTAGCAGATACTGGAGATCGGCTCTCTCTGAATCTTCACCAAAGCTGCCTTCTGTGTTAAAGAGATCTTAAGTATAAAAAGTACATTGCATTTCCCTAACAAGGTTTCTGCACATGACCTTGGTTCAACTAAGATACACCCACACAAAACAGAATGCAGATAGGAACAATGTGGCATAGGGGTTCATGCACAGAGACATTGGATCTTCTGGGCAGCTGTGTGGATGGGTCTATAATCTAGTCCCATACTAGAAGCCAAGCAGCAAATGATCATGGCTGTGGGATTTCTGATAGAGCAGTCTCATGTGGGACATTTCTTCTGGATGCATTCTTGGCTGTGAATGTAGATCTGGTTCCAGCCCTCTCAGAATTCTGTGAGCTCCTAAAACTATAGTGAATTTCTTTCTGTTTTAATGCCTGTAGTTGATGCTGTAGTCTACAACTAAGAGTCTTGATTTATGCCTTATTAGCACCAAAGATGATTGCAGGGAATATGGGAATCAATGACATCCGATAAAGGGTAATTTCCAAAATGTATAAGGGACTCATACAACCTAACAAAAGGAAGACAGACAACCCAGTTAAAAAATGGGCAAAGGACCTAAATAAATACTTCTCCAAAGAGGACATACAGATGGCCAAGAGACATATGAAAAAATTCTCAAAGTCACTAATCATCAGAGAGATGCAAATTAAACCACAATGAGGTATCACCTCATACCTGTCAGAATGGCTCCATCAACAAATCAACAAACTACAGTGCTGGTGAGGATGTGGAGAAAGGGGACCCTGGTACACTGCTGGTGGGAATCTAGACTGGTGCAGCCACTATGGAAAGCAGTATGGAGGTTCCTCAAAAAATTAAAAAATGGAACTGCCATTTGACCCAGTGATCCCACTCCTAGGAATATATCCTAAGGAACCCGAAACACCAATCACCAAGAACTTATGCACCCTTATATTCATAGCAGCGCAGTTTACAATAGCTAAGATCTGGAAACAGCCCAAGTGCCCATCGGTAGATGAGTGGATAAAAAAGCTGTGGCACATTTACACCATGGAATACTATGGTTGAGACCCTGAAGGGTAGACTGGCTCTTTCTATCTAGGCTGGAAGGCTTGCAGAAAGGAAATAATAGCTCAAGATTTTAAATTTGCAGCTCAAGGCATGGTGAAAAGTCTGGAGAGTTTCTGTGACTGATCTACAAGGATCTCTTATCTCCTGTCAAGGGACTGGCACAGTTGAAAATCAGACCCAGGTCTGATCCTGCAGACTGGTAAACTATTGCAGGTGGAATTCACAGCCTTGTTTCTGTGACTGATCTACAAGGATCTCTTATCTCCTGTCAAGGGACTTGCACAGTTGAAAATCAGATCCAAGTCTGATCCTGCAGACTGGTAAACTGCATTGCAGGTGGAATTCACAGCCTTGACAGGTTTCTTATATGAACACGAGAGCATTGATTACAAAAGAGAGGACCCTTGAGATAGGAATGGTAACTTTGGGGAGAATTTAGATGACTTTAAGGATGCTGGACCCCCAAGCTCCACTGTTTTTCTTGCTAGCAGAAGTAATATCTGAGAGATGGTGAATCTATTCCTGCCCTGCTTGAAAACTGTAAGGGCCTCACCAGAGAGAGTTACTTGGTAGTGGGTGCCGGTTTTCTTCAATGCCTCTAGGCAAGTAGAGTCACATCCTAGCATATCCTAGCATATCCTAGCATAAAGTCAAATCTGAGAGAGTAAAATTGCAAGGGTTTGCTAATTCGTGCAACAGAAGACGGGAGAATCTATGTGGGAATGGGTTCTGGAGGGGCTAACTCAGCCACTTTAAAAATAACTCTTCATCTATTGATATTCCCACCTCCCTCCCTCCTCTCTCCCTTTCATCCATTCATCCATCCATCATCCATTCATCTATCTACTCATCCATCCCGTTATATATGTAAGATGAATGTGGTTTTACAATGTTAAAAAATTTAAAAGATGTTTAAAAAGTCTATAAAGAATGAGACAAAAGTAGGTTTTCAGTTGTTTGTATGGAAAATAAAACATTAATTAATAATACAACAAATAAACTGTGTTTTGTGTACTCACAACTGTAAACCTACTCTTGCCCCACCCTGTATATTAAGGTCCTGAATGATGCATACTAACTCTTCAATTTAAAATTATAACAAAAGTTTAGAAACACTAAGAAAAGAAAAATTTTCTTTGCAAAATGCTTGACTATAGAATGCATATTATTACAAGTTTTTGGTTAAGAAGCTAAACTTTATTTCCACCTATACTCAGTGATAAAGTGTTTCCCAAAATGTTCATTTTTTTAATCCAGCAATGGCATCCATCATCTGAGCAAAACTCATCTCTAGCCTTGAGTTTGTCGTCACATTTATGTGAGGCATTAGATTTAGAAGCCTATTCTGAAGTCTTAAATTCTCCTTAAACAAGGCATATTCTTGTTCCTCCCTGAATGAATTATTCCAGTGAAATCTGAACCTCTGTCTGTGCTATCACTTTTTCTGCTCTTTAGGAGGGTCCAGGCCCAGGAGGATATGCTTGTGGAGATTTGGATAAATGTTCTAACCTTAGTGAGTCTTCCTCTCCTTTCCTGAGCTCCCACTCCCACCCTCTACTCCATCCCTCTTCCTCTTAGGGGTGCGCTTATTTGGAGTCTGAGCCTGATTTCCCAGGACAGCCCTCAGTTTTACAGTGAAAGTTTCCTGAAACTGAATTCACTTCATGTTTATACGCCTTATGGTCAGCACTTGGGCCTTGCCAACCTTCTACATTTGTTTGCAGTTTGCATTTATTTCATCCTGCAGCTGCAAAAGGGTTTTATGTTTGTTTTGAGGGAAATCAACTCTGAACTGATCTTGAGTGCAGACAGACACATATTTTGAAACACCTACTGTTTAGAAAACCCTCTTTAGGATAATGAATATAAAATTACAAATATAAATTAGGCACAAAGGTGATTATGTATTTAGAAAGAGAAAACAAATTATAACTAAAAATATTAAAAGTTGAATACATTTGAAAGAGCTTATTTTTACAACTTTTACAAAAACATACAATCATCAGAACCCAAGGCTAGCGACCCTTTCAGGGCTACAGGAGAGACCTATATAAAGTGCATGTGTGTGTGCGCATGCGTGTGTATGTGTATGTGTATGTCTATGTGTGTACATGGAATTTTACAGAGATCAGACCTCATATACAACTGTGGACACTGGTTAAATATTCCCCACGAGCCTATTGTCTTCCTGTCTGATGCTAAGACTTGAAGTCTGCAGAGCAGGCAACTGGAAAGGGAAGATGGATGTAAAGTGGGGGAGAGCAAGGACAAGCTAGAATTCATGAAGAGGAGCTGGGACCATGAGAATGAACTGGGACCTGTGTCCGTGTCCACTGTGTTCAACCTTGTCTCTTTGTCACAGATCTAAACAGATGGCCCAGGAATTGAAGATGTTGAAGGAAGATCCAGGAGAAGGTGGAGCCTGGGTGCTGCCCTGTGCCAAGAAGGTGAGTCAGCAGATGATGATGTACTTGAGCTACCAATGCACCTGCCCCTGCCTTTGGAAGGTTAAAAGCAGTATGGCTGCTGCTTTACTTCCCCCTTGTAAATCTCATGCAAGTAGGTTTCCCAAACATGGTCCACCTTAACCAGAAACACACAGGGAAGTGAAGCTGGAAGCACAGGTCAGCCTAGCTATCTGACCCATTACAGAGCCACCAGAGCCTACTCATTGTCAACTTGGCACCCATATACATCTCTGAAAACTATACCTATTTTAAAAATAAATATACTAACAAAGGCACACTTCTGCCTAATTACAGTATATATAACTGAAAATATGCTAGCCCCTTCTCCAAAAGGGAATACTAGTTTGTATTTTTGGTTATAATCATTCTTCTTGTAGGTTATCCAACCTCCTATTTTGATATTCTGTAACTTAAATACTATAACACAAGGTTAACAACTGCTACATATCTTATGTTAGATGGCAGGGGAATGGGAGAGAGCAAGAAAATAAAGATTTTATATATGTAATGTTCATATCAAAGGAAGGAAGAAATACTCATAACTACCATTCTCATTTCTTCACTTAGCCATGTGTTCTAACTGGTATTTATAATTGCTTTCTTCTGCTAGTTAGAGTTCCTTGGCTGTGGGTAACCTAAACATTTATTCCTGAAGCTTCTGGGCCATTACCATCTTGCCTGAATTGA